CTCTTGGTCCACATGCCAGACTCTTGTTCTAGAAGCCTGGCACCTTCTCTGTGGGCTTCCTCCTCTCCGCTCCCCCACCTCGTCTCTCCTCCCCCACACCCCACTTCCAGTCTATTCCAGCCCTGCCTCGTCTTCCCTGGTATCCCACTTGCTCCTCACTCCCTGAGGCCCGTGGGGGATCCCTTGGAGTCCCCACCACATCAAGTCCTGGGGGTCCACCTTTGCAAGCGAGTGAGGTCATGCTGCAGCAGCATGGGCAGGTGTCCAGGGCTCTGCGCCACACTGCAGGCTCCATGTTCAAATCCCAGCTCTGACCTCTACCTCGCCATGCGTGGCTGTAGTGTATAGCATCATTTCCCATGCCTCAGTTTGTTCATGTGTGAAATGGAGCTGTAGGCGGCTCCTGAGATGAGGAGGCTGTGAAGGGTTCTCCTGCTGCCCTCTGCGGCCAGCTGCCCTGACACCAAACCAAGCCCCACCCACCTTTTCATTTAGTTAGTGTTATTTAAAATTTATTTTTATTGGCAAGTCAGATTTACAGAGAAAAGGAGAGACAAAGAGAAAGATCTTCCATCTGCTAGTTTACCCCCCATGTGGCCATTTGGGATCCCAGTACATGCAACACGAGGACCCCAGCCACTAGGCTACTGTGTCTATTCATTTAGTTTTAAAAAGGCCAGTACTGGGTCCAGCACGATGGCTCAACTGGCTAATGCTCTGACTGCAAGCACCAGCATCCCCCATGGGCACGAGTTCATGTGTCACTTCCCTTCCAGCTCACTGCTTGTGGCCTGGGAAAGCAGTGGAGGACGGCCCAAAACCTTGGGACCCTGCATCTGCGTGGGAGACCCAGAAAGGCTTGCATGGCTCCCATGGCCCTGGCCGGGGGCCCAGTGTTAATTTGTGAAATCCACATCAAGGTCCCAGGGACCTGGGGTTTATTTTTGTGACCGTGTTGGCAGGACGATCACGGGGGTGTAGAGGGTGTGGGGGGCTGCTGTAGCGGGTCGGGATAAATGCTAATTAATAAAAGTTATTTATTTGGGTTGGAGCTGACTGCAGCCCCGGGGGTCAGGCACAGACTGGCTGCAGCACAAACACGGAGCGTCTCTCAACAGCTCGAGCGAGGCCAAGCCGAAGGGGCCGGTTTATTTGTCTTGGGGAGAATTTTCAGCTAATTCCCTCCAGGCTCTTGAGGCCCTTCCATTATCCGGATGGACAGAGTAAGAAAAACCCCGGGTGTGGGGCAGGAGCAGGGGGCTGAGAGCCGTCTAACTGTCTTCCATCCGCCCGACTCAGCCCTGCAGCAGCCGCGTGGGAAACGAATGAGAGGCAAAAAAGCGGCCACTGTCATCTTCCCTTTTATCCCCATCGTGATGGAACTGGGGGACAGGCGGATGCTGGCGGCCACCCCCATCTGGCTGCCTCTTCCCTGCGCGGGCCCCTCACGATGGTGTCCACACAGCCAGTTCCAATGGAGGCACTTTCATCCTTGGATGGAGCAAAAGGGGGCGCTTGGGACGTGGTCAGCCAGAACAACTCTGCATCTGCCGATCTGAGGCAGAGGAAGAGGCCTGGGGGTGGAGCTGGCCTTGCGGGGCACCCAAGGCCCAAGGCTTTTCTCTCTCAGGGACTATTTATTTATTCTTGAAATGCTTGCAGACTGGCTAAGCTTCCCAGGGACACCCCCACCCAGCACGGTGGTGCTGGGCGGAAGGAAGGCCATGATATCAGATAGCAGCCCCCAGAGGCGAGACGCCCCCACCGCCCCACCTCCAGCAGGAGCCGCTGCTTGAGCCCTGGTGGCCAGGGGCCCCTCCCGCCGTGGGCTGGGCTGCTGGGGACACAGGGACACCGTGGCTCAGGACAGTCTTGCCAAGGGGCGAGGACGTGGGCTAGCATCTGGACTCACCGTTCACTGACCCACAGCCATGGTGCACAAGGGCTTTGAAGCATTCATGGAAAATGCAACCAAGAATTTATTTTGCCACAGAACTATTTGAAGGCCCTGCCTACAAGCGGATCTTCAAAAAGTTCCCATGAAACTCGTAATATGAAAAAAAATCACATGGAATTTTGCAGTTTTCTTTGCACCAAAATAAGTCCCCCCTTTAATTCTGCATTAATTCAGCATTCCATATGGGTACCAGTTCATGTCCCCTCTACTCCACTTCCTGTCCAGCTCCCTGCTAACGCACCTGGGAGAGCAGCCGCAAGATGGTGCTTGGGCCCCGGCACCCATGTAGGACACGTGCAGGAAGCTCCTGGCTTCAGCCTGGCGCGGCCCTGGCTGCCGCAGCCATCTGGGGAGAAAATCAGCGGCTGGAAGATCTTGCTCTCTGCTCTTCTGTTGGACAGAGCCTTGGGGGTTCCCACTGCCATCCCCTGCACCCAGCCTTGCCCGTCAGCCAGCCTGACCAAGCCTCTCATCCCAGGCTGGGCACTGGCCACTCTACTTGCACCACATGAGGGCGATCTGCCAGCTCACAGCTTGTTGCAGCTGCCTGGCATCCCTTGTGGAAGCCGCAGGCGCACCGACTCCTGCAGATCACTTCCCACGGGCTAGAGTGGAGGCATGGGTGTGTGCTTGGCCAGGAGTGGGCCCTGAGTGCTGTGCCTGGGAATGTGACAGCCCTGCCGTGTCCCCATTCGCAGCGGCAGGTCAGCGGCCCCAGGGACAGGGCTCCCAGCCTTGGGCTGCTAAGCTGCCGGCAGATACGGGTCTCAGTGCCAGCTTGGGCGAGACACAGCCTGTGTATAGAACAGCCTTGTGGTGCCAGAGATTTGGGGTAAGGAGTGTGGGGGCCGCCCTATCCTGATGGCCCTGTGACCCTGGGAGCCATTGTGGTCGGCTGTGGGGGTGGAGCCAGCCCCAATCTGCATGAGAATCTGAGCTCCAATCCTCCCCATTCCCTCCCAAGAGCCAGCTTGGTGGGCCGAGGTCACTGGGTGAATTCCATGCAGGCACCCCCAGTTCTGAGTCGCTCAGGATGTCCCCCAAAAAGGTCGTTTTGACTCTGGCACCTTCTGCAACCCAAGAAACCTTGGCTGCAGGAGGGCAGAAATCGGCTCTGAGCAGGTGAGAGTTCCAGAAGCTTCCATGGCCCTGCCTCCAAGCTATTGACCCCCCTGGGCTTTTCAGCACCAAGGCCCTTGTTGTGGTCTCACGTTTCTCCCCATCGCTGGGTGGGGGGTGGGAGCCATTCCCAGGCCCCCAGCTATCATCCTCCTTGGCCTTTTCCCGGGGAGGGGTGACGGGGGAGGCCTGCATGGCTGCCAGCCCGGCTCGCTCCTGCGCCGTCTCCACCCCTGCCTGTCTCCTGCACGCTCCACAGGCTGACGCCACCGCCCAGAGTCCCAAACCAGGTCTCCCCACGCTGGTGCATTCGGCGCTGTGGCTCACGCCGAGCTCGGCTGCCCCTGGGGACCAGGTTAGCCTCTACTTACCTAGCTGCTGTCTGCTGCAGGGCGGGGCTCTTTGGCAACCTGGAATGTTCTAGAAACTTTTAGCTCACTACAGGCCTGGCACCGTGCAAAGAACACAGCGAGACGTGGACTGGCCATGTAAAGCTGGCCGTGGCATCCACAGAATCGCGAGTGGAACAGGTCTGGCCCCTCAGCAAGGACTCGCTGGCCCCCTATGACATTCCATTCCTAGGGGTCTGTGCCAAATATGCACTGGCAGAAATAGCAAGGCCTCTTTTTGTGGCAGAGGCTGACAGCACGCCATGGACCTGTAGGCGGGGCCGGGGTCAAAGCCATGGGGCAGCCTGGGACCAGAGCAGGCCATGGCGCAGGAGGCCAAGCAGGAGCCGCCCTTCCAGAGAGAAGAACCCGCATCTGTGCGAACAGCAACAACTTGTAGGATGAGTTCCTACGGGAGCAGGCATAGGACATCCACCTGCTACAGGAGCTGCAGTGTGTGGTGCCAAGATGGACGGTGGCACAACGGGGGGCAGGCGCTGACCTGCCCCTAAGGCGCCTGCCCCTCCCATCCTCCAGGGTCCCAGTTCAACTCCCAGCTCCAGCTTCACGCCCGAGAGGCAGCAGGGAAAACTTGGCTTGTGGTGGACTGTATTCCTGATACCCGCATGAGGGACCTCACGTGGGCTCCTAGCTCCTGGATTTGTCCCCCTGGCTGGCTGGCACCAGCATTTGAGGAGTGAGCCAGCGAATGGGCATGCTCTCTCAGCCTCTGCTCAGATAATTAATGTTTGAACGTGTTGCTGTGCCAACCCAGGGTTCCGTGCATGCCTCAGATGGCGTCAAGTCCTGCCTTTCCAGCTGCCAGGGCCCCGGAGCGGAGCGTCCCCTGTACCCTGGCCTGCCCCGGCCCCGTGGCACTGTGATTCCAGGGCCTGCCTTGCCTGCTGACATCTCTGCCCAGGCAGCTTCTCCCTAGCGTCCAGCAGGTGCATAGGAAGCCCAAGGCTGCCCTTTGCAGCTTGGGTCAGGCTGCTGAGTCTCAGCCGCCTCCAACAGTGACCTCTTGCAGACCCTTGAACTTGAGCCAGAGAACTGGGCCTTCCTAAATATTTCTCCCTCCCCATCATCACAGATCTGGGGAGACACGACCCCAGCATCCTGTCTGGAGTTCCTGAGGCATCAGCCCCCCAGAACCTTAGCTTCCCCCATTTCTTACTATTAGGATCATACTCTTATTATTTTATTATGATGACTCATTGGCAAATGATGACAGCAAGTGTCCTGCGTACCCCACCCCACCCCCAGCCGGGCCAAGCGCAGGGAACACGTGGCTGTCTCCTGGTCCCCCTTGTATCAGGACAGTGGTCTCTCATGAGCCAGTGTACCTGCTCCCTTTGGTGGCCCATGTGGGAGGTGCCTGAGGGCTTCTCCCTGTCCCATCGCTTGGCACGCAGGAAGTGCGATCCGAGCTGAACCGGGAGCTTTGGATGAAACACGAAAGGGACGCAGTGTGATGGGGCTGGGCCCGGGTTCCCCCAACACAGGCCCCTGCTGAACCCCGGGCTTCTCCGCAGGTGAGTGTCCCAGCCCCGGGCGCGGCGGCGCGGCCAAGCGCAAGAAGAAGCAGCGACGGAACCGCACCACGTTCAACAGCAGCCAGCTGCAGGCGCTGGAGCGCGTGTTCGAGCGCACGCACTACCCGGACGCCTTCGTGCGCGAGGAGCTGGCCCGGCGCGTCAACCTCAGCGAGGCGCGCGTGCAGGTGAGCGCCCCGCATCACGCACCTGCAGGCTTCCCATCCGACCTCCCCACTCACTCACTGTGTGACACTGAGCAAGTCACCCAGCCTCTCTACCTGAGTTCCTCCCTATGAAATGAACGTCACGCAGTCTGTTTTAAGAGGGGAGAGGAATGCGATGACAAAAGGGGGTTTTGGGCAATGTCGTTTTTAGAACGGGGCGGGGCTCAGACTTGGAGGAGTAATACCTTTGCTACAGCCGGCCCTGCTGGCTTTTCCTCTTTGTTCTGTCCATTTATTTGCCCAGCCCCCACCACCCACTCACCCACAAGTATCTCCGGTCATCGCACGTGCTTTCTTTAAAGACTGATCTGTTTGAAAGGCAGAGTGGCAAAGTGGTTCACTCCCCAAGTGACTGCAGGAACCAGGAACTCCAGCCAGGTCTTCCACATGGGTTCAGGGGCCCAAGTGTTTTCCCAGGTCTAGCAGGAAGCTGGGTTGGAAGTGGAGCAGCTGGGACTCGAACCAGCTGTGCCACACTGCTGCACAATTCTACAGATGAGGTCACTGAGGTTCCTACAAATGATGCTGCTGGCTCGGGCTTGTGGTGGGGCAGGTTCACCGCCCCCGCGGCCCTCTGGGGCTGGAGTGCCCCTCTGCAGCCTCCCACCCCAGCTCCTTGTTACCCTTCCCCCGATCCTGCCCCAGGTCTGGTTTCAGAACCGTCGTGCCAAGTTTCGCCGGAACGAGCGGGCCATGCTGGCCAACCGCTCCGCCTCGCTGCTCAAGTCCTACAGCCAGGAGGCTGCCATTGAGCAGCCCGTGGCCCCCCGGCCCACCACCCTAAGCTCTGACTATCTCTCCTGGACGGCCTCATCTCCCTACAGGTGAGAGTGGGTACCCTGTGGTTGGGGACAGGATGGGGCAGGGGACATTCCTGGGGGGAGCAACGTGCCTGGCCCCTTGTGTCTGGGGGAACCAAGGGGTGGTAAGTTGCATGCGTGCTCACAACCCGTGTGTGAGTGTTGCCAGCGTGCATGTGTGCATGGCTGCAGGTGCTTGCGTGCACACAGGGGTGTGTGTGTCCGTGCACAAGGAGGAACAGAGGCAAGACTTCCCAGCCCTCCATCCCCAAGGGAGCTGCCCTATGGAAAGGTCCAGCACCCATGTCATGGTTCAGGCCAGAGCCCGAGGCTGGGCGGGCAGAGGGAGTGGGAACGGGGTGGGTGGAAGTCAAGAACACACTCCAAAGTGGCCAGACGGGAAGGAAGGGGGAGATTCCAGAAGTCAGGGGTACCGCTGGACCCCAAAAGTCTTGCATGGGAGCTGGAGTCCCGTGGGAGGCGGGGCTGCCCTCCAGGGTTCAGGGTAGAGGTCAGCCCCAGAAATGGGCAGCCCCTTTAGGCCAGCAGCGCCTACCCTGGATGCCCAGGCTCCTCCCACCTCTGATAGTCCCGCCCCAGGCCAGGCACCCTAAGGAGAGCGAGCTTGATGTTTGGGTGTATGTGAGGATGGTGAACGGGGGATTGAGGGGCAGGACCAGGGGCTAGATTGCAGCTCCAACAGATACAGCAGTCAGCTGCAGGCCATGGGCCAGCCTTACCTGTGTGTCCTCTTGTTCCTGTCACCCCCAGCTCCGTGCCCTCCTACAGTCCAGGGAGTTCTGGTCCCGCGACCCCAGGGGTCAACATGGCCAACAGCATCGCCAGCCTGCGTCTCAAGGCCAAGGAGTTCAGCCTGCATCACAGCCAAGTGCCCACGGTGAACTGAGGGCCGGCCCCGCCAGGAGCCGTGACTGGCCTCCTCATCGACCAACCGACAGAAGAGGAGACCGCTGAACGGGGAGGAACTTCTTACCCCTGTCCTGGGGGAGGCTGGCCATGGTGCCCCGGATGGACTCCCGCGTCCCTGCGGAAGGACACTTGTTCCCCCGTGGTGCCGCCCACCGCCCCGTCCTTGGAGGGGCTGGGCCAGGAAGCGCCCAAGGGGCTGCCAGGGACCTCACCAGTCTGTGTATTAAAACCCTAGAGCTTTTGTCTTTAAGAAATAAACAGGTTTTTTTAAAGCCTCCCCCCAAAAAGTTGCAGGAGGGTTAGGGTAGAAGCAGTGGTGGCTGCTGGGGGCGGGGAGCTGAGTGGCCCAACAGGGGCCTGGCTCTGGCAGCAGGGGCAGCCTTGGACCCCTGCCTTGGTCTTGGCAGGGTTCTCCATAGCATTCAATCTCTGCCTGCCCACCGTGGGCAGTGTGGGCCCTGGAGGGGAGCGGGGAGGGGCAGACACCTGTCCTGAGCCCCCATCTCCATCCTGCGCCCCACAAGCACCCTGGGAGTCTGGCAGAGCCCTGCCCTGTGGCTGGGCAGCGTGGCATCCTCCACTGCATGGCTGGGGACAGATGGGGCGGCTGTGGGCTCCTGGACCAAGCAGAGTGAGTTGCTGAACGACCGTGTGGCAGGTGCGAGAACCCATGCTTCCTGGGCCTGCAGAGGCTGGGGACTCTTCTGGGTATTTCACTGTGGAGTGAGGGAGGTGCAGGCTGGAGGTGCAGCCTCAGCCAGAGCAAGGGTCTCTGCCAGCCAAGGCGCCAGCCCACTGGGAGCACCCAGCCCACCCAGTAACACCAACCAGTGACATCAGTGAGGTGTGCAGTTGAGGACAGCTGGGGCCAGCCCCTTCCCCTGGCTCCCATGCCAGATCTTCCGGCTAAAAGAGAGCCCCAGGAGCCTGGCACGATGGCTCAGTGGTTAAATCTTCACTTTGCAAGCGCCAGGATCCCATGTGGGCATCAGCTCGTGTCCTGGCTGCTTCAGGTCCCTTCCAGCTCCCTGCTTGTAGCCTGGGAAAGTGGCAGAGGACAGCCCAAGTCCTGCACCCATATGAGAGACCCAGAAGAAGCTCCTGGCTCCTGGCTTCAGATTGGCTCAGCTCTGGCAATTTCACCCATTTGGGGAAGTGAGCCAGCCGATGGAAAATCTTTCTGTGTTTCTCCTTCACTCTGTAAAATCTGATCTGCCTTTCCAATTAAAAAACAATCTTTGAAAAAATAACAAATAAAAGGGATCCCAGCCTAGCTCCAGGAGGCAGGCCTGCACCCCCACACACACCTGGATGGGAAGGGATTCGAGACATGGGTGGCCAGGACCCTGGCTTCCTGGTTCTGCTGGCCCGCACTGTGCCTCCTTGGTCCAGGGGCTGGTCAGGGACAAGAGTTTAGGCAGGTGGCGTGATGGCCCTGACCAGTCGGGGACACAGGGGGAGGATGGTGGAGGAGTCATGTAGGCAGCAAAGCAGGAGTGAGTGAGCTGGTGGGACTATGGCAGGCCTGCGTACAGCAGTGTCCTTAGAAGAGCCGGACAAGGAACCGACCTGGTAAAAGCTTCTGGAAGATACTGGCCAGACCAGAGCTGGGGCTCCCTGCCAGAGAGGGGGTCTCACCTGGGAGTGGGCCCCTGGAGCCCCAGCTCTGGAAGGCACGGTTGGGGGGGGTTCCCATGGAGATGCAGGTCCCCACCAACCTGCAGCAGATCTGTTCTCATGATTTTGGGCGGGGGGAGGAGCGTTCCTGGCACAATAACTCAAGATGGAATTGTGACTCCTCGCCTTGCATGCCCGGGATCCCACATGGGCGCCGGTTCTAATCCCGGCAGCTCCACTTCCCATCCAGCTCCCTGCCTGTGGCCTGGGAAAGCAGTTGAGGACGGCCCAGAGCCTTGGGACCCTGCACCCACGTGGGAGACCGAGGAGAGGCTCTTGGCTCCTGACTTCAGATTGGCTCAGTGTCAGCTATTGTGGGGACTTGGGGAGTGAACCAGTGGAGGGAAGATCTTCCTCTCTGTATATCTGACTTTCCAATAAAATTAAAAAAAAAATTTTTAAAGTGGAACAGCTGGAACTCAAACCAGCCTTCCTATGGGATGCTGGTGCCAGAGGCAGAGGCTTAGCCTACAATGCCATGATGTTGGCTCCTGGTATCAGCTTTGTAAAATATCAGATTAAACTCTGGACCATTAGCAGCTATAATAATAATACATTTTTAAAAAAACTATAATTCAATGTTATAGTTTTATATTTGGAGAATAGAGACAGACGTCCTATTGTTTTCTAAAAGTCAAAGAGTAGAGCTATTTCCAGCGTTCTCGCTGGCCAGGCCCAGACACCAGGCGGCCATTGTTACACGGATACCGCCCAGCAGCTTCTCTGGGGAGTTTCCAGTGAATTCCAAAAGAGAGCCTGGGGCTGGCGTTTGACTTTGCACGAATGCCTGGGTACAAGTGGCAGCTCCATGTTCCATCCAGCTCCCCGCTAACGGACACCATGGGAGGCAGCGGAGGACGGCCCCTGCACCCACCTGGGAGACCCGGAAGAAGTCCCTGGCTCCTGGCTTTGGCCTGGCTCAGTGCTGACCGCTGTGGCCGTCTTGGGGGTGAGAGCACAAGTGAACGGGAAAGCTCTCTCTCTCCCCCTCTCTGCGGAGTTCTTTGAAATAAATAAATATTTTTATTTTAAAAAGTTCATGATAAATGTGTATTATAAGAAACCATTCGTGGGCGGTGGCGCAGTGGTTAAGGTCCTCGCCTTGCACATCCGGGATCCCATATGGGCGCCGGTTCTAATCCTGACGGCCCCACTTCCCATCCAGCTCCCTGCCTGTGGCCTGGGAAAGCAGCAGAGGACGGCCCAAAGCTTTGGGACCCTGCACCCGCGTGGGAGACCTGGAGGAAGTTCCTGGCTCCTGCCTTCGGATTGGCGCAGCACCAGCCATTGTGGGGACTTGGGGAGTGAATCATCGGATGGAAGACCTTCCTCTCTGTCTCTCCTGTCTGTATATCTGCCTTTGCAATAAAAATAAGTAAATCTTAAAAAAAAAGAAAAGAAGAGAGAGAGAGGAAGATCCAGGGGTCAGGGGACGATCTTGTTGCCCGCCGCCTTCCGCTGGGCTTTGGGCACTAGCTCTTGGTCTCTGCCCCTTGGGCCAGAGTTTCATATTGTTGCTTGATGGCAAGCTCGGGAACACAGAGAAGGGGCTGGTAGAGTTGACCAGTGAGGGCACAGGGGGCCTGGGCTCAGTTTACATAACGCAGCGTTCCCAGGCTGTGTCTAACAGGACACTGGTCCCCCTCTTCACCTCGGCCTTTCTCCTCTCAGAAGCAGACGTGTCTCTCTCTCAGGCATGGGGGGAAAGTCGCATTCAGCTCAATGCCTAGCAAACCAGATGCTCCACACGGTCCTGCCCTTCCATTTGTCCCTGCGTAGACACCTGCGGTCCAGGTGTGGGGTCGCGTCCTACCACCAGGGGGCAGTGTGACTGCTTCCAGCGCCAGGCGGAGCTGCAGGGGCCGCTGCACCTGCAGCTGGTCTGGGGTTCCCTGAGCCCCACTCCCTGCTCTTGGGGTCCTGCAGGGCGGGATCCCATCGCCAGAAAAGCTGGGGGGGGGGGTCCCTGCGGGGCGCCTGGAGGAGTCCCAGAACCCTGAGTTCAGAAGTGGAACTCCTACTGTCGGCATCAGCTTCCCTGGGAGAGCGGACAGTGAGGGGTGGCTGAGGCCGAAGGGGACGCCCACAGGACCCAGGAAGCCCGCTGAGGGAAGCTGCTGGCCACTCAGGGTCAGGGGCCAGTCCTGACCATCGGGCCACAGACAGGCACCAGCAGGTGGGAGCCCCAGGCCTGCTGGTGCACGGGAGACGCCAGGAGCACGCAATCCCAGAGACCATGACCAGCTGCTCCAAAACTCCAGTTTAATGAACAAAACCACACACGTGTTCTCAAGCAGGAGCCCACCCGGGCACACGCATCCAGGCACACACAGCCATGCGACTCCTCTTAGGGTGGACATTGCTGCTTCCAAAATTCACACATGCTTAAGGAGAAAAAACCCTGAGTGACCGGTCACACAGAGCCCACCGTCCTCCACCGGGGGAGGGCGCCCAGAGGAGGACACACACCATCTACACACAGGCACACACTTACACACAGCTCCCCACCCCTCTCAGGCGGGACCCCAAGAAGCCGGCTCAACAGGAGACCCTGGGCCCATCACAATCTGAAGCCAGGGACGGTCCCTGGGGATAGTGGTGGCTGTGAGTGGTCACAGGTGGCGGGCCGCCTCCCATAGGATCTGCAAGGCCATGGAGGCGCAGGGCAGCTGGGCCACCGTGTAGGCCAGGGAGCGGGTGGGCGCCCGCAGCCGCCCCAGGTAGGCCACCGTGTGCACCAGGCGGCCCAGGAAGAAGATGAGGAAGTGCATCCAGGCCACGAAGGGGTCAGGCCCCAGGAAGGAGTAGACAAGGCCCAGGAAGAGGAAGGGGTAGATGGTCTCCATGTCGTTGCGGTGAGCCCTGCAGAGACAAGACGGGCAGTGAGCCAGGATCCTGGGAGGGGGCGGCGAGGGGATAAGAGGGTCACCCCGGGGACCTGTCACACCACCCTGCCTCCCCATCCTCTGGTTCTGACAGGTGGGTCAAGGGGAGCTCCGTCCCATCAACTCTGGTCTGAGCAAGCAGTGAGACCACAGTGGGCGCATGATAAACAGCTGGCCACAAACCCCGTGAACACAGCAAGGCCTGGACCCTGCTCAGCACAAACTCAGGCAGCAGCAGCTGGCGTATCTGTCCCTGACAAGCATTCATGTTGTGGTCCAGCCACATGGAAAGCAAGTTTGTGCCGTAGCAGGCTGAGCCACCACCCACAGTACTGGCATCCTGTGGGAGCACCGATTCTGGCCCCGGCTGCTCTGCTGCCATCCAGCTCACCTGCTAAGGTGCCTGGAAAGGCACTGGAGTACGGCCCAAGTGTACCACACTGGAGACCTGGACGAAATTCCTGGCTCCTGGCTTTGGCCTGTGCCAGCCCTGGCTGGCGAGGTCATTTGGGGAGTAAACCAGCAAATGCAAGATTTTTTTCTCTCTCTCCCTCCTCTCTAATCTGCTTTACTAATAATAAATAAATACATCTTTTATAAAAGTGCATGGGGGCAGGTGTCTCGCAGCTGTGAGGAGGATGCCGCCTGCCCAGCAAGAGCCAGGCTCCAGGTGGATCCTGGGGATCCCATTGCTGAGAAAAAAAAAACACACTGAGAACTGGGGCCACGCCAGCTCCCCCTGGCAAAACAAGCTTTTCTCCCAAGCCACTCCATCCTGCGGACATGCAGCCTCCCCGTTAGGACTGCCAGGTCAAGGCGCCCCCAAATACGGGTTGCCTTCGGGCGATACCTCCTGGATGAGACGTCTTGCAACACTGACCTTCAAGGGCACTTGGAATGTTTGTGGGGAAATGCAATCACAAAAACCACATCTATGTTGGTGCCAAAAGCCTTGAAATCCAGGCTGTTTAGAAAGCTACTTCGAAATGTGGATCATCAGGAAGCGCTGGGTGAATTTCACCATTGTTTAACACCAAAATAAACTTCTCTGTTCATTCCATGTTCCCCCAAGCGCCAAGAAGGAGCTGCGTATTTATTTGAAAAATTCAGGGAAAGTACAAGACACAAAGGAAACCCATGGGACCAGAGGGCTCTCCCAAAAGTACATGTTTACGTGGTCCTGGGGAAGGAGCCCAGAGCTGGGCAGCGGCCCACTCACCTGGAGTGGACAGGAGGGAGGAGAAGGTGCAGGGGCCCAGGGCGTGGCCAGGGCAGGGCGGGGTGGTGGGACAGACCGGCAGTGTGAATGCTGAGCCCAGTGCCCACGGCAGCCACTAGTGAGAAAGCGCCAAGCGCCTGGGGGCGGCCCTGACCTCTGTCCCCTGCCTGTCTGACAGGTCTCAAACCACAATGGGGAAGCACAGCCGGAGCAGGCACAGGGACAGGGGGCCGTGGTGATGCAAGGAAGCTCACCTCCCCCTCCACCCCTCCCCGCACCTCCCAGAGGGAGGACCTGGCGGCAGTCACGCAGCAAACCCGGGCGCATGTGTCATTGCATTGACTGCCTCACCGAGGGCGAGCCTTCCAAAGCCGGTTCCCACCAGACTGGACTTGCCTGGTTGGCCTCCAGGTGGTAGTGCCGGGGAGGGCAGGGCTGGCAGCGGTGACCCCGGATGCCCCCCTGCTCGCCTCGCCTTCCTTCCCTGGCCTCAGCTACAGCCATGTGGCTGGCTAGCAAACCCACTGTCCTTCCCGTTGTAGCTAGCAGCACCAAAGGACATTGTCTGGGGGCTGGGGGTGGTCCCAGGAACCCCAAGGGCTGATGCAGTGGGTGGCTGCGAAGTCACCAGTGTTCATCATCACCAGCTCTGTCCAGGGAACAACTGAACCCTGCCTGCTGGCACTTCCCTGTGCGGTGGAAAAGGAGTGCTGGGCTGGGAGCCCCAGTTCGGCTGGGGTTCTGACTTGCTCTGTATCTTTCGCTCTCTGGCCCTTAATCCGCTGTCCGCAGGAGGAGCAGGCTGGAACAGACTGGCCGGCTCCCTTGGCCTGAGTCTACATCCCCCAGAAGGCCTGAAGACCCACCACCCACCAGCGCTTGGTCCATTGCCCCCTCCCACCAGCCAGGCTGGGGAACAGCTGGCCCGCGGGTCCTCAAGGTTACTCAGTTTGGCCCTGCCCAACCAAAAACAAAAACAAAAAAGCTCTCATTAACTCTGCAGCAGGCTAACACTGAGGGTGAGGGTTTTGTAAGGCCATGAATGAGATCATATATAGCCAGGTGCTTCTTGGCAGACACAAGGGTCTCCACCCCTGTGTGGGTGGGATGTGGCCTACGTGGGTCCCTGTGGCCCCTTAGCAGGTGATTAGGGTCATATAAGGTCACCACAGTGCAGGCCCACAATGGTGGTTTTTGGATAAAGCCACTGCCTATGGTGCTGGCATCCCATATGGGCGCCGAGACATGTATCGGCTGCTCCACTTCGGATCCAGCTCTCTGCTGATGTGCCTGGGAGAGCAGTGGAGGAGGGTCCAAGTCCTTGCATGCCTGCAGTGGTGACACGGGAGACTGGGATGAAGCCCCTGGGTTTGGACTAGCCCAGCCCTAGCTGTGGCCATCATCTGGGGAGTAAAACAGAAGAAGGAAGATCTCTCTCTCTTTAATGCTGCCTTTTGCCTTTTCAAATAAATGTATCTTAAAAAGAAGAAGAAGCAGCAGAGAGGCTGGAGGGAGAACACACACCTCCTCTCCCATCTTGCTGGAGAAGCCCTGCCCTGCCTTGCAAGACCATCGCCAGACCCTGACCTTGAACCTGAGCCAACACAAACATTCTCCTTTGCTGCTCACCGACGCTGCAGGCCTGTGTCCTTGGCATACCCCTTGGCCACTCTGCCATCTCCTGCAGGCCACCTCGGCCTGTGCACAGGCACCCGTGACCCTGATGGAACCGAGGCCCCAGTTTCCTGCAGACTTGGACGCAGGTCTTGGCTCCAGCCTGAGCTAATCTGCAAGCCCGTTCATGCCTCAAGCGCTTGCTGGCGCACTCCAGTGGTCCCCCTCCAATGGCCCCCATGCAGACTCGGCTAATCTTTAGCCAGGTTTCACTTCCGGGGTGAGGATGGGGGCTGTCTCGCCAGGGGTTCGGCCAGCTTTCCAGTATCAGACGGCAGAATAACTGGTTCTCCAGGCTCCGCACCCAGACGTCAGCATGACATTAGGCGGAGTCTGGGGTGAGGGGCGCAGAAGGAGAACCCTGGGAGCCAGTGGACCCCCGTGCACAGCACAGCAGCTTCCCAACCCTCACAGACGCAAAGCGTGGTTGGGATGGGGGCACTCCCACAGCTCACGTGCTCAGGGGCAGTTTTCCTTGAGCAGGAGACGCTGCTTCTAGTGGCCAACTTACCCAGCCCACCCTCTGCACAGCCCCCAGCTCAGTGTCCTCACTGCTGCGGGGAGGGGTGGAGCCCGTGAGGGATGAGGATGCCAGAAAAGCAAACAATTTCACTCACTTCCTGTGTTACACAGCCCGGTCATTTTCTCAAAGCCCACGTATGTATATTAACAATGGCCAAGAAAAACACGGGGAGAGAACGCGGGGCCCTTCTTTTCATAAAAGAATGTCTTGTATTCAAACCCCAGTATCACACCCATTTCCCTTCAGACACCTGAGACACCTCGGAGGACCGGGAAGGAGCCTGCCCGGGGTGCGCCCAGCCCAGCCCAGCCCAGCCCCAGCGCACGCACACCTCGGGCAGTGCCACTTTCCGCCTCCCCTGCGAGCCCCCTGCCCTGCTCCTGCCTTCTGCAGAGAACAGGAAAAGGCAGCCAGAGCTGCAGCGCTGGCCCTGGACACAGGAAGCTCGCCGTGGGCCCCTCGCCGTCCGCCCCGGGGTCTTAGCCACGCGTTTGAGTCACATCCACTGATGCAGAAAGCGCTGATGAAATCGCGGATGCTGGGAAGCCGGGAGCCTCCGCAGGACACGCCCATCGCGTGCCTCACGCTGTGAAAAATATTTAGACGTAGAGGACGCAGAGGGGAATAGCTAACGGGATTAGGACTGGCTGGGTTTCCCCTCTTCCTTTTACGTATTTTTGGTGTGACCCAAGCTGTATGCCAGAAGCAGTTGTTTTGAGACGCAACGCAGACCCCAAATACAATGTCAGTTCTCACCAGCCACGTTGGCAGCGGCCCGCCCCCAAGGTCTGACCATTTAAGGGCATGTCAAAAAGTGTACTCAAAAAAAAGGAATTAAAAACGAGTCCAGGAGTGGGTGCTTGGTCTAGCAGTCCACACATCCGTTAAGACTCTCCAACCCCATATCCCAATTCCTGGCTGGATAAGGCCATCATTGCTACTCCCCATGTCAGACTGTAGGTTTGAGACCCAGCTGCTCCACTTCTGAGCCAGCTCCCTGTGGACACACCCGGGAAGGCAGCAGAAGATGGCCCAAGCGTCGGGGTCCTGCCACCTATGTGGAGCCCCGGCTGGAGTTCCAGGTTCCTGGCTCCCCCCTGACCATGGCACTCAGCTGGGGAGTGAACCAGCAGATGGAAAGTGTGTGTGTGTGTCCCTCTTTCTGTCACTCTTTCAAATAAATAAAATAAATCTTTAAACAAATAAAGGTAAGTTAATTTGGTGCAAGGACTAATTTAAAGATTTGTTTATTTACTTGAAAGAATTACAAGAAAAGAAAGGTCTCCTATCTGCTGACTCTCTCCAGACAGCCAGAGTCAGGCCAAGCAGAGGCCAGGACCTGGAACTCCATCCGGGGCTCCCGCAGGGGAGCTGGGACCCAAGCACTTGGTGCCTCCCCAGTGCGTAAGCAGAGATCAGGATAGTTACTGAAGCAGCCAGGACGGCAATGTGTGCCGATGCTGGCACTGCCATCGGACGATCCCGACTGACACACCAGCTGTGCGAGCAACGGGCACTCGTTGACCACGTGCTTGCCCCCTGCAGCCTTGCCCACATACTCGCGGAGGCCGACGCAGGAGATGGACACACCCTGGGGTCCAGGGGACAGAGGGCCCAGCGCCCTGGCTGAAACAGCACACAGGCACACCCCGGCAGGCACCCTGATGGCTGTGACTGTCTGGCCCGGGAGTGGGAACAGACAGGACAGCGAGGAAGGATCAGCAAAGACTGTCTTCATGAACAGCCTGGGCTGACTGTGTCACGGTTTTTAAAGATTTATTTATCTGAAAGGTAGAGTTACAGAGAGGAGAGGGAGACAGACTTTTCATCTGCTGGTTCACTCCCCAGGTGACCACAATGACCAGGCCCAAGCCAGCAGCCAGGAGCTTGCTCTGGGTCTCCCACGTGGGTGCAGTAGCCCACGCACACGGGCCATCCTTTGCTGCTCATCCAGGTGAATTGGCGGGAAGCTGGATGGGAAGTCGAGCAGCCGGACTCAAGCCATCACCCACATGGGATGTCGGCACTGCAGACGGCAGCTAAACCAACGATGCCGTCGCGCCAGCCCCGTGCTGTGTAATTCTAAGTGAGGAGCGTGTGTGAGGACACTGTGAGAGTTTGTACAAAACACAGTCTGCCTTGCAAATAAATGATAAATAGTTCATTAACATTTTAAAAAGGAGGAGCCAGCGCCTTGGCTCAACAGGCTAAACTTCCACCCTCAAGCACCGGTTTTCCATATGGACACCGGTTTGTGTCCCAGCTATTCCACTTCCCGTCCAGCTCCCTGCCTGTGGCCTGGGAAAGCAGTCGAGGACAGCCCAAAGCCCTGGGACCCTGCACCTGCGTGGGAGACCCAGAGGAGGCTCTTGGTCCCTGGCTTTGAGTTAACTCAGTTCTAGCTATTGTGGCCATTTGGGGAATAAAGCAGCTGATGGAAGATCTTTCTTTCTTCTTTTCTCTGTAAATTTAACCTTTTTTTTTTAATTTATTTATTTTTACTGGAAAGGCAGACATACAGAGAGAAGGAGATTCAGACAGAAAGAATTTCCATCCGCTGCTTCGCTGCCCAGGCAGCCGCAACAGCCAGTGCTGAGCCGGTGCGAGTCAGGGGCTTCCTCAGGTCTCACACACGGGTACAGGGTCCCAGGGCCGTCCTCGACTGCTTTCCCAGTTCACAAGCAGAGAGCTGGATGGGAAGTGGGGCAGCTGGGACGCAAAACAGCACTCATATGGGATCCTGGTTCATGCAAGGTGAGGACTTTAGCCACTAGGCTACCACGCCGGGCCCCAATCTGACTTTCAAATAAAAAATAAACACACACACATACATATATATATACATATATATACATATATATACATATATATATATATATATATTTTAAATCTCCTGGAAAAAATTTTTAAAGAAGATGGGGAGCATTTGGCATAAGTGTTCAGGTGGTCCCAGGTCTGCTCATGCGCACCCTGGAGGCAACAGGTCATGGCTCAAGTCCTTGGGTCCCTGCCACCCACGGGGGAACCTGCACTGGCCTCCTGCCCTGGCTACTGAGGGCACGTGGAGAGTGAACAGATGACAGCTCCCCATCCACCTCCCCTGCCATTCGTTTCCCTTCTCCCCTCCCCCAGGACCCAAGCAGTACTTGCCTAAGGCATCGCTCTACGTCAGGGTCACTTCTGCAATACTGGGGGCCCCCGTGTCGCAGGGCGTCCTCAGGGTTGGCAAAAGCCTGGAACACAGCAGGAGCAGGGTCACGGCCTGCAACACAGCTAGCCACCCACCCATGCCTGTACTCCGCCCTCAGATAGAAGAGCCCGGCACCTGTAGCATGGGCAGGTGCATGGCCACTTGGTCAGCGTGCAGCTGATGCACATGGGGGATCTGACAGAGTCTGGGGTGTCAGGGGTGCACTGCAATTGGCCAGAAGGAGGGCAGGGTGGGGCCACAGGTGAGACAGTGGACCAGCACACACTAAGGCCCTGGGGTCAGAAGCCAGCTGAGTTACAGCAGAAAAACAGGCAGGACTAGAGCGACAAGGTCCTGAAGCGGGGCAGGGGCAGGGGGCGGGCCCCAGGATGACGCATTCAGGACCAGCAGGGGTCGCTAACAGTTTGGATGTTGCATGGAGAGGACTTGACAAGACCTGGAGCCGGTGTGGTTCAAGGCCGGAGACCTGGAAAAGCCTAGGGCGGGCACCCAGGATGTGTCTCCCTCAAGGTCATGCTGCAGGTCCCCGAGGCAGCATCCAGCTGACAGGTGACCACCACCCCCATCCCCACTCTAGGGGGGCAGGCTGGGCTTGCCCTGCCCCAAAGTGAACAGCCTGTCAAGGCTACAAGGAGTGCTTCACGTCCAGCTTGTCCTGCAGCTCTGTCTGTCCCACCGAGTCCCAGGTGGGACTCCCCGCCACCCTGCCAGCCACCACTATCTTCCAAGGGGCCTCGGTGTCCAGTGGGCACCTGCCCAGGGAGCCTGCAGCCTTGCCCACCTCGCATCACCTGCCCTGGCCAGGAGCCTGCTACTCAGAGCCCTGGATGCAAGCCTCCCAGGTGCTAGGGGTGGGCTCACCCCAAGCAACAACCTGTCCTAAGGACACACAACACCAGGGTTGTGGTCTCCCGTGTTCCGGAGGGAACCTCAGACCTGCCCGAGGGGGGGGATGGGAGAGGAAGTCCCAGACCAAGTCTGTTGTCCCTTAGGGGCCTGTGAAGGGGATATCTCCTCCAGTCCTTTCTACTGACCAGGCAGGAAAGCCCAGGGCAGGCTGGGCTCCTCCTCCCTTTCCTAAACTAGGCTGAGATCTTCTCCAATCCTGAGCTGGGGGTGGGCCCTGGAGTGGGTGCGTGGGGTGCAGCCCAGGCCATGTGGCTGTGTGCACCTAAGCTGAGGGGAGGGGGCGCCCCTCCGACCCCCAGGCCGTGGTAGGAAGGCCTGCATTTGCATGCACCTGGTTTTTGAAAGGCAGAAATACTGGGAGAAAAAGACAGGACCAAGGGAGACCCCCTGTTGGCTGGCTCACTCCCCTAAAGCCTGCAGTAGCTGGGGCTGGCCCCGGCAGAAGCCAGGAACTCCATCAGGGTGTCCCCACCCCGGTGAAGTGGCAGGGATGGTTTCATTGTTACCAGGGCACTGGGACGGGAGAGTGGAGCTGGGACACAAGCCCTGGACCAAGACAGAAAGTGGCTCGCTCATCTACCAAAATCCACAGGTTCCCCAGGATCTTCTAAAAAGATCCCGGGGTGTGGCTGCAACCCCGCACTGTCCAGGCGGAGGTGATGGAGTGTGCTGGGCTCTGGGCTCCAGGCGCCCACTCCTAACCGGTTCAGGAGTGCCGGGAGGCCACCCTGGGACTCCGGGAGCGGGGAATTTCCACTAAAAGACTTCCCGGCTCCTACTCCACCCAGCCTCCTCCAGGATTCCCACGCGTCACCCTCCCGGGAGACCCTCTGGCGGAGGGCACCCTCAGCCAAGAGAGGGGAGCCGGGAGCCAACGTCCCCAGGGGCGGGATCCCAAGGGCCCAGCCGGGCGCCGTCCAGCAGGGGCTGCTCCCCAGCAGGGGCTGCTCCCGTGCTGGCCCTGCGTCCTGCGTGGCCGGCCCGGCGGCACGTACCTTCTTCCGCAGCCTCACTTGGCCGGTGATCACAGCCAACGCGTACATCTTGAGCACCAGCAGCACGCTGCAGAGCAGGAAGCCCGGGAGCGCCTGGCCGCTCGCCATCGCCAGAGCCGGGGCAGGCATCTCCTGGAGCGAAGACTCTCCAAGTGTCGGCCGCCGGGAAGGAGCCTATGAGCGCTGCGAGGGATAGCAGCCGCGGGACCTCACCGCGGGGGCGGGCAGTCCCCCAGGCAGGAAGATCCCGCCCACTCCCGGTCCTCCGGTTGGGTCCTTCTCCTGGGGGTGGGGGTAAGGGGGCAGCACCGCCTCTGGACCTCCAACCTTATCACTGAGCCTTTTGGGTTTTTTTTAAGATTTTTAAAATTTATTTTATTGGAAAGGCAGATTTGCAAAAAGAAGGAGAGCCAGAGAAGGGTTTTCTTTCACTCATTCATCCGTAAGTAGCGGCAATGGCCAGAGTGAGCCGATCCAGGAGCCAGGAGCCAGGAGCTTCTTCCGGGTCTCCAATGCAGGTGCAGGGTCCCAAGGCTTTGGGCTGTCCTCCACTGCTTTCCTGGGCCACAGGCAGGGAGCTGGATGGGAAGTGGAGCAGCCAGAACGAGAACCAGCATTGATATGGGTTGCTAGTGCTGCAAGACAGAGGATTAGCCAGTTGAGCTACTGTGCCACCCCACTTACACCAAAAAAAAAAAAGTTTTTAAAAACAAAAGACTCTGGCCCGGGTCCAGCACCGTGGCCTAGCGGCTAAAGTCCTCGCCTTGAACGTGCCAGGATCCCATATGGGAGCCAGTTCTAATCCTGGTGGCCCCACTTCCCAGCTCCCTGCTTGACGCCTGGGAAAGCAATCAGGGACAACCCAAAGCCTTGGGACCCTGCATCTGCGTGAGGGACCTGGAAGAAGTTCCTGGCTCCTGGCTTTAGATCAGCGCAGCTCCGGCCGTTGCGCTCACTTGGGGAGTGAATCATCGGACAGAAGATCTTCCTTTCTGTCTCTCCTCCTCTCTGTATATCTGACTTTGCGATAAAAATAAAAATAAATCTTTAAAAAAAAAAAAAAGACTGCAGCCCAACACAGTGGCCTAGAGGCTAAAGTCCTTGCCTTGGAACCACTGGGATCCCATATGGGCCCCAGTTCATATCAGATCAGCTCACTCTGGCCATTGCAGCTATGGCTTGATTTTCTGAAAAGACAAACCAGAACCTTCCAGCAGAGACCAGGAGACACGGCACGGGGGAGGACGTGACCCACGTCACCTGGAACCGCAGGGGAAGACCCTGCCGGGAAACCACGCCTGATGGACATGACTTCACGGCTGGAATCATCTCTGCAGAAGCTGAAATGAGCCAACAAGACCAAGAACGACAGAACCTTCTGTGATCTGTGGCCAGGAATGTTGGTGGAGCCGCCCTTGAGTGTGGCTGTGTGTGTTTACAGGGTGAAGCGGCCGCTGCTGTTCTGAGAGTGTGTAGCTCTGGCCATGGCCTTGACTCTTGCTCAGCCCCCCGTCTTTCTGTCCTTCTGTCCTTTTTATTTTTTAATGGTCCAGATTGAGTATTCTAGAGTCCATCTCTCCCAATGATTTTTTTTTTTAAGATTTTTTTTTTTAATTGGAAAGGCAGATTTACACAGAGTAGGAGAGACAGAAAGATCTTCCATCCACTGGTCCACCACCAAATGACTGTGGTGGCTGATCCAAAGCCAGGAACCAGGAACCTCCTCTGCGTCTCCCAAGGTCTTGGGCCATCCTTAAGTATTTTCCCAGGCCACAAGCAGGGAGCTGGATGGGAAGTGGAGCAGTCTGCCATATGGGCTGCCAGCACTTGCAGGTGGAAGATTAGCCAGTTGAGCCATCACACCAGGCTCTCTCCGTCTTTTAGTGGGTTTTGTGGCCCCTGCGCGGATGGTGGCTGGGAGCCTAGTTGGGGGCGGGGGTACCCCAACAGCGTGTGCACAGAAGTCAGGGCAGCGAGAGCCTCTGGGTGTCTTAGACCCTGATCTGTGGCTTCCTGGGTGGAACCGGGTCTCAGCCTTGCTGCCTGCTCAGGGGTGCTCCCCGCCACGTCCGAGGCCGGGAGCACACAAGCAGCCACTGCCAGGTGGTTTATTCCAGCTCCTGTTCCTTGGCATTTCCCGACACCCATAAACACTGCTCTTCTTCCTGCCAGTTAATCGCCTGTAACATCAGAAGAGGCCCCAGGGGGAGGAAACGGCCCCACCTCGGCTGCTGGTGCCCGATTTCTGAAGTCATTCGTGCTGTGCCTGGTGGCGGGGGAATCCAGGCGTTAAAAAAAGAAAAGGGGAGGAGGTGTACAGCTGAGCACACCGGCTCCCTGCGGCGAGGGAAGCTCGGTGGGCCTCCAGGACCACCCCATCCTGCGGGTTAGTTGTTTTTTTTTTTTTTTTTAAGATTTATTTTTTTACTCTTATTGCAAAGTCAGATTTACAGACAGAAAGAGCGAGAGAAAGATCTTCCGTCCGATGATTTACTCCCCAAGTGGTCGCAACGGCTCAGAAGCCAGGAGCCAGGAATTTCTTCCAGGTCTCCCACGCGGGTGCAGGGTCCCAAGTCTTTGGGCTGTCCTTGACTGCTTTCCCAGGCCACAAGCAGGGAGATGGATGGGAAGTGGGGCTGCTGGAATTAGAACCAGTGCCCATATGGAATCCGGCATGTTCAAGACAAAGACTTCAGCCAGTAGACCACCACGCTGGGCCCCTGGAAATTAGGCTTTTTGGCCTGCACAGGTGCCTCCCCCCCACCACCACCCGGAAGGGCCTGGGTGGCAAAGTTGCCGGGCAAAGCCCCTCGGGCCACCCGACAGTGTACTGTCGGGGTTAGAGGGTCTTGATTTACAGGGGATATTGGGGTCGCATAGGTGGTAGTGAGAGATGACCTGTGGTTTTTTTGCCCAGGTTAGGAATTACAGCTGATTGTCTTCCATAGACAAGTCCACAACATGTGTGTGTAAGTAGGGGCTGACACCAAGTGGTATAAAGGGGAGAACAAAAGGGATAGGAGTGGGTCTGACAGCGGAATCTGGGGGGGCAATGTGGGCTCACCCCTGTGGACCTGCCGTCTCTGCTGGCTCGCCCAGGAATGGTGGGTGGGCGCAGGCCTTGCTGGGGAGCTAAGGGGGCGCCCAGCTGGGTTGGGGTTCCCTGTGGTGATGATGAGAGTAGGATTGAGGGCAGCAGTTGTGACTGTACAAGGCTACAGGCTGCACCTGTGGTGTGCGCTGGGACTGTGGAGCGACAGACTGGGCTAGACTCCAGCCCCCCTGGTGCTCGTGAGAGCCAGTTTGGGTGTAGAACAGATCAGGCGAGGTCTTGACTCCCGCTGAACTATGTGAACGCTGTGTCTGGGTGCGGACCAGGTATCGCTGGGCTGCAACTCCCAACAAGAACCAGAATGGGCATGGCCGACTGAGCAAGACCACTGTTCTTGCTAGGATAAGAGGTAGACAAAGTCACCCTGGGCCAACGACCCACTGGTGTGTGCGAGAGCTGCCATTGGGAGGAGACTCGATGGAGGAGCTGGGGAAACTCCTTCATTGGGATGCAGTCCCTGCAGGTGAGCACAAGAAGCAAGGCAAAGAGCAGCCCAGACCATGCCAGGTTACAGTGCCCACCAGTGTACCTGTGGGTCAGGTCTGGGGACAGACCAGTCTGGGCCAGCTCATAACACCCACTGGCAGATCTGAGAACCAGGGCAGGGGCAGGAGGAGCCACATCAGGCCGCAGCACCAGCCAGCTCACATTAGGACCAGGACAGCAATCAGGCTGGGCTGGGATAGGCTGCAGCACCCACCAGCAGGAGCTGGAAGCGGGGGCAGACTAGACTAAGCCAGGCTTCGCAATTAGATCACAGACCTGAGATGAGGCGAGTCATGCCAGCCTACGCTCAGCAGGGGCTAGGTTCTGAGTCCCAGGGACAGGGATCTGACAGCGCTCAGGTAGCTTGGCTCAGGGCCAGGGCCCACCTGGATGGTGGGGGCTGGGTTCCTGAGCCCCAGGGACGAGGGAAATGGTGGGGTTTGTGTGGTTAGTTTAGATCCCGGGACCCACCTACAAGGTGGGTGTCAGGTTCATGTGTCCCAGGGGGTGGGGGATCTGGCGGGGCTTGGGATATCTGACCTGGGTCCAGAGGCCCACCTGCAAGGTGGGTGATGGGTTTATGAGCCCCAGGGGTGGGGAATCCGCTGGGGCTCGGGTCACCTGGCCTGGGCACTTGGACTCGCCTGCAAGAACATGTCCTACTTAATGAAAAAGCTGGAGCAGTGGACACAGGCCCTGTTGTAAAAGAACATGCAGCACATTTGGTGCTGTAGCAGAACAGAACTAACCGGACAACAACCCCAAACAAACGGTGACAGCAAAAAACCTCGGTGGATGGAGCCGACGGACACTGGGAGGGTGACGCCATCCTTGGATCAGTGAAATTGGCAGCATGTCAGAACTATCCAAGCCACTTGGCCAGAACCCTCGGAATTTGTACACACTGGGACTCTGGGTGGATATGAGGTGGCGGTTCCTCGTCCGTGGGCACTGGGACGTGTGGAAAGTCATGAGCGGTTTCACCCTTTGTCTCTCTCCTGCCCGCAGGAACAACAGGATAAATAGCAAATTTGGAAGTAACGAGTTCACCCAATTTTTCCTAAACCTCAATTCTTCCCACCCTGGTCAATCATGTAATCATTATTTAAAAATAAAATTAAAAGAAAAAAAAAAGAAAGAAAAAGAAGAGAGAAACAACTGGAGCTTGAAATGAAATGAATTTTTGAAATCAGGTGCGTCTTGCCAGTCATCCTGTGGCATCAGCCCTCAGCTTGGAGACAGCGTTTGCCAGCTGTGCAGTGCGGGCTGCAGCCTCACAGTGGGCACGGATCACGGTGTTCATTTATTTGGGGCTCAGGTGTTGCCCACAGGCTTACCTCCTCCCCCTCCCTTCTGCCTGCAAGTTGCCAATCAGAGTGCTCCATCCTTCTGGCAGGGGGCACCATGGTGACTGATCCAAGCAGGACCAATCAGATGCCTTCCCTGGGAGCTTCTGATGCTGACCGGGAGCTTCTTGGCTCTGGGGCCGGTTTAAGCATGGCTTTGGCCTGGCATGAGTGTAGCCACGTCCTTT